AACCAAAAGTTTGATAGAGACCCTTAAATTATCTGTTACTTGTTCAACAGATCAATCAGACCCTTAAATAAACAAAAAGTTTGATAGAGACCCCTAAATGACGATTTTAAAAGTTGGTTCCCCAAAATAGGAATCAGGTGAAAGTTGGTTCCATTTTGGTGTAATTTTCCCATTTTTCTATAATTATTTTGCAAGTTGGTTCCCCAAAATAGGAATTAGGTGCAAGTTGGTTCTCCAAAATGACGATTTTGAAAGTTGGTTCCCCAAAATAGAAATCATGTGAAAGTTGGTTCCCTAAAATAACGATTTTGAAAGTTTGTTCCCCAAAATAGGAATCATGTGAAAGTTAGTTCCATTTTGGTGCAATTTTTCCAATATAAAAAGTTAAAATATCTAAAAAAATGCATATCTCTAAGAAGTTGTTTGGTAGTTGCTGAATGATTAAGAGACTCTCATATATAGTGAAAAATGAAATATAATTGTTTGGTAATTGCTTACAATGAAATTAGGGCGTTGAATGGTTAAATGAGGCCTAGGATGCAAATTATTTAGAGAATTTTAGAACCACTAAGAAGCAGACTTTTTTTTTACTAAACAAGATTTACCTCTTAACGATTCAGATGTTGTCTTTTAATGGAACTATAAACAAACAACCCCTAACAGTTATTCTATTTTAGCAAATCTAGCATTAACTATACTGATAAAATATTCAATGCATTTAATAAAATATTATTTTATTACTCTTACACTTTTAATTTCAATAACTTTAATTGGTTTTTTGTTTCATAATATTCAAGGTCCATGGAGTTAAAATCATCAGTTAACAACCATTAGAAGAGACAAATCAGTCATTGGGCAAACTACAAGGACCAAAAGTATAATTCACTCTAAAATTAATTGTGATTCGTATCTTTTTTTTTTAAATCTTTATGAAAAATATTTCAATTATAGTTAACCGGAGATGGTTACGTATAAATTTGTTCGTTAGAATAAATAATTTTTGGTTATGGAAAGTTGAAATATAGTTACATTTTTAGTCCATATAGTTTGCCCAGAGACTTTGTTTCTCTTAACGGTTGCTAACTGACGGTGTTAACTCTAGAGACTTTGAGTGTTATGAAATTAAAAAGTTGGATACCATCAACATAGATAGTTTGTTTTAAGGATCAGATCCAAAATTTGAGCAAACCATAGGGATCATCAGTGTAATTCACTCTTTATAATAAAATGATGTAATTTTATTTGCAAACAGTAAAATTCAAATTGTGTCAAATTATATCTGGTGAATTCATGGTTACAAATATTTTATCGGCTAATACATCAAAAGTATGTTCGTAATCATGTTGATATTTTCATAGCGTTCTTTTAAACGTGTGTGGTACCATAGAATATGAATTAACTGTAAATATAACATAACAAAGAATATATATATATATATATATATATATGTGTGTGTGTGTGTGTGTGTGTATATATATATACTCTCTCTCTCTCTCTCTATATATATATATATAT